AGCAAACAAGACAGTGGGATGTTAGTAAAACAACAGACAAAAGAACACAGAAAGTCTAGAAAGTACAGCACATATCTATGATAAGTTGATTCTTGACTAAGATGTCAAAACAAGCAATAGAAAAAGGCTAGTATTCTTTTTTTAAAAAGTTTTATTTATTTATTTGAAAAGCAGAGTTACAGAGAGGCAGAAGCAGAGAGAGAGAGAGAGAGAAAGAGAGAGAATGAATGAATATCTTCCATCTGCTGGTTTACTCCCCAGATGGCCACAATGGCTGGAACTGTGCCAATCAGAAGCAAGGAGCCAGATGCTTCTTCTGGGTCTCCCACATGGGTGCAGGGGCCTAAGCACTTGGGACATTTTCTACTGCTTTCCCAGGCCACAGCAGAGAGCTGGATCAGAAGTGAAGCAGCCGGTGCCTCGGGCAGTGGCTTTACCCGCTATGCCACAGCGCTGGCCCCAAGGATATTATTCTTAATAAGGTACTAAAAAAAACCTAAAAACCGTATGCAAAAATCTCAGCTCCAAACCTGGAACCATATATAAAAATTAACTCAAAATTAATCATACACTTAAGTAAACATATTAAACTATAAAACCTTCAGAAGAAAACAAAGAGTCGTTATGACCTCTGGCTAGATCCAATAACAAAAATTATGATCCAAAAATGATATACTGGATAAACTGAGCTTTACCAAAATTTAAAGCTTCTTATGTTCAAAAGATACAGCAAGAGAATGAAAAGGCAAGTAACAGAGAATATATTTTTATATCACGTATCTGATAAAGGACCTAAATCCAGAATTTTTTTTTTCTTTGACAGGCAGAGTCAGACAGTGAGAGAGAGACAGAGAGAAAGGTCTTCCTTTTCTGTTGGTTCACCCCGCAAATGGCCACTACGGCCAGCCCACTGCTCCCAGTGCACTGCACCGGTCCGAAGCCAGGAGCCAGGTGCTTCCTCCTGGTCTCCCATGTGGGCGCAGGGGCCAAGCACTTGGGCCATCCTCCACTGCCTTCCTGGGCCACAGCAGAGAGCTGGACAGGAAGAGGAGCAACTGGGACAGAATCTGGAGCCCCAATTGGGACTAGAACCTGGGGTGCCAGCGCTGCAGGCAGAGGATTAGCCAAGTGAGCAGCAGTGCTGGCCTCAATCCAGAATTTATACAGAATTTTCAAAATGTAAAATCACAGGAAAACAGCCCAATTTAAAGTTGAACAAAGGATCTGGATAATTCATCACCAAAGACAGAGATGGCAAAAAAGAATATGTAAATATGTAAAACATAGTTATTAGGGAAATGCAAATGAAAACCACGAGATACTGTCCATCTTCTAAAATGGCTACTTTTTAAGATTTATTTTATTTGAAAGGTGGAGAGAGAAAGACAAACAGAAACAGCACACTCTTCAATCCACTGACTTATTCCCCATATGCCTGTTAACAGGCAGCACTAGGCAAGTCAAAGCCATAAGCCTAGAAATCTATCCATGTTTCTCGCGCAAATGACAGAAACTCAAGGACTTAGTCATCAATTGCTGTCTCCAAGTACGTTAGCAAAAAGTGAACTGGAAATGCAGAGTAGCCAGGGTTCAAACCAGGAACTCAGATAAGGGATGCAGGTGTCCCAAGCAATGGCTTAACCTGCTGCGCTGCAAGGCCTTCCCCTAAAATGGGTAATACTGGAACTGACTGACCTTACTGAATATTGGCAAAAATGTGGGGCATCTCATACACTACTAGTACAAATATAAAACAGGACAGAGGCCAGCGCTGTGGTATAGGGGACTAAGCCTCTGCCTGTGGTGCCGGCATCTCATATGGGTGCTGGTTCTAGTCCTAGCTGCCCCTCTTCTGTTCCAGCTCTCTGCTATGGCCCGGGAAAGCAGTAGAAGATGGCCCAAGTGCTTGGGCCCCTGCACCTGCATGAGAGACCCGGAGGAAGCTCCTGACTTCAGATCCAGCCATTGTGGCCATTTGGGGGGTGAACCAGCGGATGGAAAACCCTCTCCCTCTGTCTCTCCCTCTCTCTGTCTGCATCTCTACCTCTCAAATAAATAAATAAAATATTTTAAAAACAAAAATAAAAAAACAGGACAAAGTTGGAGTACTGGCAGCTTCTTAAAAACTTAAACATGTATACACACATAAGGGGTCATCAAAATTATGCATGGATTTAAAAATTTTTATACCAAAATAAGCATCTTTTACTTCCATGTTATTTATAATTTAGAAAATTTTCCAATTAAAAAAAAAAACTTATTTATTTTCATTTTATTTGAAAGGCAGAGAGATACACAGAGAGATCCTCCATGCACTTGTTCACTCCTCAAGTACCTGCAACACCCAGTGCTGGGTCAGGCCAAAGCCAGGAGCTGGGAACTCAATCTTGGTCTCTTATGTGAATGACAGGGCTCAACTACTTGAGCCATCACTCCCAGGGTAATAAACAAGTGGGAAGCTAGAACTGAAAGCAGAACTAGGACTCAAAACTGCGACACAGGATGTGGGCATCCCAAACACTGCACCAAATACCCCCTTCCCAGTGATTACTTTGCCCATCATCACTGGATTCTACATTGCAGAGAAGTAGCAGCAATTACTGATTCATGACTCGCCTCTCATGAAATTAAATGTCTCTAGGCAAATAGGAAGCATATTAGAGAAATAAATACAGCCTGATGCTTTTAAATACAGCTCATACTTGAAAATCATATTAGTACACATACTAAATATACCAAAAGCAGTTTTTGTTCCCTCTATTATTACAATCTTGATAGAAGATGTTTTTGATTCTCCAGATTTTCCAATTTAGCAAGCTGGGACTTCTTGTCCTTTTCTGCTATGTTTTCAGTAGAGCAGAAGCCAAAAAACTCTGCACTATTTACTTCCTTATTTGTCCAACAAATCATCAGTGAAGTCAGTAGCAAACTCAACTCTGAAAGGAATGTTTATTAACTATCAGTATTCCAAACCAGTGAGAAGAACGCCCATAGTAATGTGTACACATATACACACACATGTGCATACTTTAAGTTCAAGAATAGAGTACTAACAATTTCCCTAAACTTGGTTCCCTTCTAGAACCAGAAGGATAAGTTAAGTTTCTGTACTAATAAAAGTTGTACACATTTTTAGCAGCTTCTCTTAACTGAGTATACAGTACTAAAGAAATCACCTTAAAATGTAACTCTTTACCCTAATAATTACATAAAGCTGCAACATGGTAGTGGTGGTTCTTGTACTTTTCCTTAACAAAATGATACCAAATCACTTAAATATTTGAAACAAACATAATATTACTTATGCCTCCCTTATCCTCTCAGGTTAAAAAAGTATAGAATTCACTCTTAGAAATGACATACATATATACTTCCACTGGTGGCATTTTTTAATGTTTTGATAAGAGATTAATTATCAAATGCTCTGAAAGTATACTCCTTTCGAGACACATCAATCGTTTTTACTTCCAAGCATCATCAAGTGAGTAAGTAGTAATAATGGATAAGACTTAGAGGTATGTTTGTCACTACATTTAATTAAACAGAGCTGCAAGCAACTCATTTCAACCTAATTTAAATCGATAAACTCAAAGAAGGCAATAAGGGCTCTGTTTTCTTTAGTTGTAAAATATTCACCACAGCATCTGATAAAAATGCGTATCTAATAATACTGGAGGACAGTAACAGCAATCATATTAAAATATATGGAAGCAAAGCACTGAAATAATTTCTTTCTATAAAAAAGACACATGGGGTAGGCACCTGGTCAGGTGGTTAGGATGCCATTTGGAAGGCCCACATCCCACCCTGAGTGCCTGCGTGTCAGTCAGTCCGGGCTCGCCTCCTGATCCCACCCTGGAGTGCCTGCGTGTCAGTCAGTCCGGGCTCACCTCCTGATCCCACCCTGGAGTGCCTGTGTGTCAGTCAGTCCGGGCTCACCTCCTGATCCCACCCTGGAGTGCCTGCGTGTCAGTCAGTCCGGGCTCGCCTCCTGATCCCACCCTGGAGTGCCTTCGTGTCAGTCAGTCCGGGCTCACCTCCTGATCCCACCCTGGAGTGCCTGCGTGTCAGTCAGTCCGGGCTTGCCTCCTGATTCTGGCTCCTTGCCAGTATGGTCTCTGGGAGGCAGCAGTGATGGCTCAAATACTCGGGTCGAAGCTACCCATGCAGGAAACCTGGACTGAGGTCCTGGCTCCTGGCTTCAGCCTGGCCAAAATGTGGGTATTTGAGGCGTAAGTCAGCAGGTGGGTACTGTCTACCTCTCAAATAATTTTTTTTTTTAATAGATAACCAATTTCAATTCCACAAGTTTTACACTGAGCACCTTTCCTACTCTTTAATACTATGAAACTTAATTTGGAAGACATAAAAATTAAAGGTACTCTATAAGAAAGAACAGAGTCCTTTTTTATTTTAAATAACAAACATGCTAGAACTTGAATATAGAAATGGGTATCATCCTCCAAAGCATTTGGGAGATTATTTACATGTTCAAATATCCACAGTTCTTTCAAAGCCAGAAATTCAGTAATTATATAACATTCATACCACACAGATGCTATTTTCAATATAAATCTCTTCATTTATTGTAACTGTATAATACTAGTAACATTTTTTTCTTTTTACTATCCAACTTTTTCTACCCAAAATTACACTGATAAAGGAGTATTGGCTATTGACAAAAATTCATACAGGAACAGGTCACTAATACTAAAATAAGACCAAATAATGTTTTTTAATATGGTTTAATGCTAGCTAATATTATCATGCTTAAAGGCCTGGGTTCCTAAAATGACAACTGAAATTTAGATATGTGAGTCCGAGCAATTTTTTTAAAGTCCCATTACAATATAGGCCTATGTTACATGAAAGAATTCCCCAAATCAAAAATAGGGAAAAAAACTAATACAGTAATAAACAGCATAAACCTATATTCTTTTTGAAAAAGTTTCCCTTATATATTTGTAATTATACGCTACAAATTATTCTAAGTTTCATACCATTCACAGCTTTTTCAATCAATTCTTCGCAAGCATCAAAGTCACCCTTCAACACCAGTTTGTCATGCAGATCTGTTAACATGGGATGTTCCAGTGCAATCTTGGTTTTCTTTTGCAGCGATTCAAAAGCTTCTGTATAGTTGTGTTGCCTGAAGTGCTTCAGACAAAGGCGAATGGCTTCCTGTTCACGGTACTACTAGAACACAAGACAAGCAAGAACAGACACACTTGCTTAGTTGTTTCTGCAGGAAATAACAGCAGTGAAAAATCTAACCTAAACCACCAAACCTTCACCATTTGACAAGTATTGTACTAACCCTATTTATTAGGGATCATTACTTCCATCTTTCAAAGAGCAAAATTGAAGCTCAGACCAATGTAATAACTTGCCAAGGACAAAGAATATGCTAACAAAACATTTGAAGTGAGACTTAATTCAAGAGCAAGAACTCTTATTATTTTATCTTATTATTAAGATATCTTCATGGTATCCACTAATCACATTGCAATCCAAGTACTGAAAACACAGAAATGATGAATTATATTATACTTTTTGTTCTTGGTTCATAATAATAAGCTATTACTTGAATGACAAGAATTACCAAATATACAGATATCCCAAACTTGCAAACAGATTTCATGACTCAATAATCTGCAGGACTAAATTTTATCATTTTCACAGCCTGGATTGTCTTATCTATTAAATAGCTATAAAGTACACATCTCAATAAATAGGAACTCCAACAAAGGCCACTCAGTTAACTAAGTGTTATCCCTAGCAAAATGAATGGCAAAAACACAAGCTCATAGAAAGATTTTTTTCAAAACACATCAACTTCAAGAAACTGTCTGGGAATACCTCAAATTTTCTAAATTACATCACTGCACAGTTAAAAGTAAAAAAATTTAAAACAATTACCAAAAGAGATGGCACAGAAGACTGAATGACAATCAAATAATCATGATTTACCCATAGGCATTACCCATGACAAATCAGGAAAATAAAATAACATCTTCAGGAAGGGCTCGGCACTGTGGCATAGTGGGTTAAGCTGTCATCTGTGGTACTGGCAATCCCATGTGGGTGCTGGTTCGAGTTCCAGCTGCTTTGCTTCTGATCCAGCTCCCTGCTAATGTGCCTGGGAAAGCAGCAGAGGATGGCCCAACTCCTTGGGCCCCTGGACCCACATGGGAGATGCTAAAGAAGCTCCTGGCTTCAGCTTGGCCCAGCCCCTACTGTTGATGCCATTTAGGGAGTGAACCAGCAGATGAAAGACCTTTCTCTTTGTCTCTTCTCTTCTCTCTCTCAACTCTTTCAAATTAACAAATATTTTAAAAATAAAAATAAATGTTTAGGATAATTTACAAGGCTTGAAACACAAACCAATTTACATTGGCTCACTTTTTGACTAATAAAAATATATTAAATGTCAATTATTTCTAATTTGAAAAAAAAATATTTATTTGAAAGACAGAGATCTTCCATCTACTGTTTCAATCCCAAATGCCCACAACAGCCAGGACAGGGACAGGACAAAATCAGGATCCTGGAACTCAGTCCAGATCTCTTACATAGATGGCAGGGACCCACCTACTTGAGCAAACACTGCTGTGTTTGAGGTCAGGCAGCCCCATACAGGATGCAGACATCACAAACAGCAACCACAGCTGCATCAAATGTCTGTTACACAAACTTAACCAAGATTTTACCTCCTCTCATAATGACTTTATAGCTATACCAATTTTACATTAATAGTTGCATATTCTTGACTTCTAAAAATAATTTATTACAACTATGTGGTAGTATATAATAAATAACAATGCCTTTGATCATGTTAACTTAAGGAGTCTCAATCTATATGGACAACTTAAATTTTCTATTAGGCTACAAAACTATCCAGCATGACCTATGATCAACATATTTTAATCAACATAGAGAGGTTTAAAAATTTTTATCAAATCGATGTAATAATACAGTGGCAGACTTTGGAGCCAGACTGTCTGTACTGAATGTCCGGCTCAAGCACCTTAGAACTAGGTGACCATAGGCAAAATATTCAACCTCTCTTTGCTCCATTTCCTCTTATGGAAAATAACAGATTATAATTGTGCCTATCTCATATACTAATAATGATTAAATGAGTTGGTAAGATTGCTTAGAATCTGGCTGACTGTGATAGCTTAATAAATATTTGATCAAACATTTTAATTTCATTATAATTCACAATCTTTTAAGTTACTCGCAACAAAGGCACGTTTCTCACTGTACAGGCATTAAAATCAAGATCTTAAAATGCAGTCCTACCTTGCTATACCAGTTGAGACAGGGTTGTACTACATCAGGATCATCAATGCCACTAAGTTCAACATACCAGATGCTAAAGTTAAAGCTGGGTCCCCAGGATAAGAGCGGAACTTTAAGGAAGAGGGAAAAAAAAAATATAGTTCAAATAAAATTTTAGCAAAGTAAAATCATTACATAAGCCCATCAGAATTCATTCAACAAATTTTCTAAGCCATCTTCTAAATGCCTAGTACTGGATGTTAAGCCTACAATAGTAAAAAAGAAACATGTGGCTGAGGCCAGCATGAGGTTTCCTTAGTTAACGAAAACACCATAAGACAAACTTAACAGTGGTCATGTATCTAGCCCCAAAAATAACCAAAATAAAGTGACTAAATAGGTAAAATTTACAAAACCTACAAGTAGCCAATATTCTATAGTTTGAATATCAGAGTACAGAAAGAGGTTGAAAGTTCAATTATTTATCAGTGTTATAAACTTGCAAACAAAACCAGAAGAAAAAGGCTCATCTTAGCTATGAATAAATATTCAAATCAAAAGGGGAAAAGTTCCCAAAAAATTCTACCAAGTTTTTACTGTAATGAAATAGACTTCATTTTAGGAATGAGAGGATGGTTCAGTAAATAGGAGCTATATTAATATAACCTATCATCTTCACAAAAATAAAAAACCATGCTTGATTACTTCAATAGATACTAAAAAAATTAAACATATGCTCCATTGACTATTATTTTTTTAAAAGATTTAATGCAGGGGGCCAGCACTGTGATACAGTGGGTCCCGGTTAGAGTCCTGGCTGTTCCTCTTTCAATCCAGCTCCCTCCTAACACACCTGGGAAAACAGTGGAAGACGGCCCAAATCCTTAGGTCTCTGCACTCATGTGGGAGACCTGGAAGAAGTACCTGGCTCCTGGCTTCGGATAGGCTGTTTGGGCTATTGCAGCCACTTGGGGAGTGAACCAACCTGTAGATGGAAGACCTCTCCCTCTCTCTCTCTTTCTCTCTCTCTCTCCCTCCCTCCTTCCCTCCCTCCCTCTCTCTCTCTGTAACTCTGTCATTCAAATGAATAAAATAAATCTTTAAACAACAACAACAACAAAAAAGACCTAATAACTAAGGAAAAGAGGGTAACAGAAACTTCTTTACCTGGATTTTTTTTAATGCACCAAAAAATATTTTTTTAAAGATTTTATTTATTTATTTGACAGGTAGAGTTACAGACAGTGAGAGAGAGAGACGGAGAGAAAGGTCTTCCTTCCATTGGTTCACTCCCCAAATGGCCGCAATGGCCAGAGCTGCGCCGATCTGAAGCCAGGAGATTAACCTAGTGCTCCATGCACCGGCCCCTGATAATTTTAAACATTAAACCTAATGAAGAAATATTAAGGATTCCCATTCAAGTCAGAAAAAGAAAAAGCAGCACAATATCTCTACTATTCAATGTTATATGAATTCTCACCCAGTGTAATTTTAAAAAAGTAAAGGAAAATTGTCACTTAAAGATTATAAAGATGTCTACCAAAAACATCAAGAGATTCAACTGAAAAGTGTCCTTAAAATTTGCATATTTGTTCAAGGGAAACATAAAAAAAATCAGTATTTTCTTTACCTATAATGGCCAATTTAAAATATTTTAAGACTCCTTCCTAACAGCCAAAAAGTTAAATAACTCAGAAAATAAACAAGGAAAATAGGCAGTATTAAGAAAATGTAGAATTCCGTTTTAGAAGTAAATAAATGAAGGAATATATTATGTTCCTAGATAGGAAAACTCAATGTTGTATTCTTCCTAGTTAATTATTAGTTTAATTAAGTAAATCAAAAATTCCAATGGCATATATTCACTTTTTTTCTTGACATATAACTGAACATCTTGATCTGAAAACACAAGAATATTCAAAATAATAAGACTCGCATTCTACAAAGGTACAGTAACTATAACAATTTCTACCAGTGCAGGAAAGGAGAGTGAAGTCAGTGGGACAGGAGAGAGCCTTCCAGACTCCCCTGAGCATTCAGTGAGCACTGTGCTACCACCGTGGAAGGACAAAGGCCTGGCCACAGACTCCTGAGGGCCCTGCAATACTTCAAGGTGCTCCTGAGTGATCAAACGATTTCCGTAACACTAGGAATTTGTCAATGTTTTAATCAGCCCAACATGTGCACTAGTGTGAAAGCAATATGGGTACAATGCTGTAAGCTGGTTCCAAAACAATGGCAGCAGAAAGTACTGTCCTCTCTCCTGCAGTACACACTGAACCGTACGTCTCACCACAATGCACCTGCAGTCCCTTCTGTCTCCTTTTGCTCCTTTGGGCAAAGGGAGAAATCACTTAAGAATGTCCTTGATGATGCGATAAAAATTTATTACATTCCTCTCATTACCCACACATATTTTCAACATCTTGTGTGACAAAACGGAAAGCAAACAAAGCACTTTTGCTGAATACCAAAGCATAATTGTTATTCCAAGAAAAGGCACTTGTAAAATTATTTTGAGTTGCAAGCTAAAAGAACTAATGGTTTTTTTGGTATGGGACACCATTTTATTCTTGAAAGGAAAACTGGCAGGCAACCTATGATTATTTACGTTTGAGTATTTGCCAGACATTTACCTATCATTTCAAGGAATACAACTAATGATATTTACTGGCAAAGATAAAATCAAACTTTCAATTGAAAATTAGAACTCTGGAAAATTGCTATCTACCACTACAAGCTTGACTGCTTCCCAATTCTTAAGATTCTTCTGAGGAGCTTGGAGGTGCTATTTACAAATTTGACTTTTAAATTAATGTATAATGAAATGTTTCCATATTTGGAAGATAAGCTTATCTCAATGAACCAGATTTTTAAAAGATTTATCTATGGTTTGAAAAGCAGAGTGACAGAGAGAGGGAGAGAGACAGAAAGAGAGAAATCATCAGTTGGTTGACTCTCAAAATGGCCACAACAGCCAGGACAAGGCCAGGAAGAAGCCAGGAGCTCCATCCTGGTCTCTGACATGGGTGGCAGAGACTCACGTACTTGGGCTATCACCTGCATTAGCACCTAGCATTCCCATACGGAATGCACGTATCCCAAACAGCAATGCAACACCTGCTGCTGAACCACATTTTCTAAATGACCAATAAGTGACACTTCAAAATCATGCATGGGTTAAGTCTAAGTAAGACCAAAAAATTTTATTGTAATCAAGTAAGGTCACTGGTAATTTCATAGTCAATAGCACAACTACCTTTAAGAAACTAACATTTGCCAACTTTGATGAAGTATCAAAGAGAATATCCACAATATCTCATACCAGGACTATTACTTTCCAAGGTCATCTCTCTTTCACCATACCAGACTAAGTGAGGAAGTAAGACATACTGCATCACATACATTCCCATTGTTGTCACCTTAAACATGCTATGTAAGGGAACACACAGGCAGTAGCAACGAGCCATGAGGGCATATGAAATATGCCTGAGATGTTTGTTACAGCTCTTAGTATAAGTGTGAAAACAACAAAAACTTCAAAAAGTTTTATATCAACAAATATTCAATTATCATCATTGTTTTGGCATTCACTTTTTTTTTTTTCCACTTAATTTGAAAGGCAGAGAGACAAAGAGAGATCGTCCATCCATCGGTTCACTCCCAAAATGCCCACAATAGCCATGGTTGGGCCAGGCCAAAGTCGGGATCCTGGAACTCCTTCCAAGCCTACCACTTGTGTGGTAGGCACTCAAGTGCTTGAGCCATCATATGCTGCCTGCCAGGAAGCTGGATTAAAAGCAGAGTAGCTAGGACTCAATCAGGCACTCTGCTATGGGATGCAGGCACCCCAAGTGGCAACTTAACTGCTGTACCACAAGCAGATAAATAAACCCTGGGGTATATTTCTTTATCTAGAAGTGTCATTTAAAAGTTTGTCTATCAAATAATATAGCAATAACTATCAAGGACTATAAACATAATAAAAGAGGATTATAAACCCAAATCCCCAACATCATGTATGTGTGTGTGTGTGTATATCAATAAGATAAAATATCAATTAGAGTTCCAGATCCAAGCTCAATTAAATGGGGGAAGGGGACTCGTATTTATGTAAGTACCAGTAAACCATTCATTTTTTAAAATTTTTTGAATGCTTGCTAATGAGATGTCCTTTGCATACCTAACTGTCTAACAAAAATATTTCTAGAGGGGCCAGCATTATGGCATAGCAGGTAAAAAGTTGCTGCCTGCGATGCCAGCATCCCATACGGGCACAAGTTCATGTTCCAGATCCTCCACTTTCAATCTAGAACTCTACTAATGACCTGGCAAAGCAGTGATGAAGGCCAAGGGCCTGGGCATCTGCCACCCATGTGGGAGACCCACATGGCTTCTGCCTGGCGCAGTACCAGCCATTGTGGCCATCAGGGGAGTGAATCAGCAGATGGAAGCTCTGTCTCTCCCTCTTTCTCTAACTTTGAGTTTTAATTTTAAAATTTTAAAAAATATATATTTCTAAAACAAAAATTCTAGAATTTTTAAAAATCATTTATTTACTTGAAAGGCAGCGAAAGAAATTTCCCGTCTGCTGGATCACTCCTCAAATGCCTGCAACGGACCAGCCTGAAGCCAGGAAGGAGCCTGGAACCCAATTTGGGTCACACCTGTGGCTGGCAAGGCCCCAGTTACTTGAGCTATCATCTGCTGCCTCCTAGGATGTAAGAAGCTGGGGCTGGGAGAATGCATGCTGTATCCAGCCAGAGTTCAAACCTCTGGAAGTCTCCACAGCCACTCAGGCTGCAAGTGACTCCTGCACAGAAACCCACAGCTCCCCATCCCAAAATCCAGACGCCTCCTGAATCTCTCCAGGACTCGGCATCTCCTCTTCCCTGCACTGTCCGCTCATACAGCTGTTATCCTGGCTGTGAATGATCCAATCATCTGTATCAATATCCTCACCCCATTCCTCTTTAGCTTTCTTCCTCCCTAATCTAAACGACCACTGAGGTTTTCTCTCCTAAACTTTTTAGTTGCTCTCTGGAACATACTTCCTGAATTAATAACCTCAATTCCTATACATAGTTTCCTTTTATTTCCAGGGCTTACCTAAAACGATGCAACCATGCTT